ACAACAACTTAGGTAGCACTCTGCCAGGTGCTATTCTAAGAGCTTTACGCATGGAAGTGGCTGTAGAGAAATGGAGTTACTCACAGGATCCTTGAAGCTGGTCCCCAGGTGCTCCACGGCATAGTAGAGCTGCCTCTTCTCGCCCAGGGACCGAAGGACAAAGCGCTGGATGTCCTGAGGCAGGTGGACACAGGGAGCAGGGGCGGGGGGGACAAGGAGAAGTTAAGTGGAGCAGGGAAGTGAAGGCAGGGCAGCCCCGGTTCCAGGGGACAGCCTGCCTGCTCCATAAACACTTCACCATGCCTCTCGCTCAGCTTTCCTCCCTCAGCCGCTTCAGGACATCTGGACTCAAACTGGGGGAGAAGTCTGCGTATAGGGTGGGGGCAGGCAGGGGTGAGGTTAAGGGAAGAGAGATGGGCTGGCACTTGGACTTGGAATCTGAGTGGGGAGCAGGGCGTGGAGACAAGTCAGTGCTGGATTTGGGGTTGCCTCTGGTGACTAGAGTGCTTGGGCCAGAATGGGAGAAGCGGGCAGAGTCCAGGTAACTGCTCGGGTATGTTTGATTGAGGGACTCACAGGGTAAGGGTGGGGGTCGGGGAGGTACCTCTCTTGGCCCCAGGCCGGGTCTCGGCTCTCCCAGCTGGCTCTGGTACTGGTTCAGAGCGTCCTTGGCGGCCTCATCCTCCGGATAAAAGAGCAGGACACTCAGGGCATTTTCCATAGCCTGGGACAGATTCCCCACTGGAGACAGAGCAACAGGGTGGGGTGGGCACACAGACCGAGGATGGCCCTGACCCTGGGCAGAGGCAGCGACGACAGGTGGACAGAAAGGTGATCCAATGCCAACCAATGCGAGCCCCCTCCCCCCCCCCGTCCCCACAGACATGCTCCTCCACTGCTTCTTGTCAAAGCTTAACTCAAACCTACCTGAGCTGAAGGGGCAGAATGCAAGGGGAGGAGGAGAGGAGAGAATAAAGGAAGGTGAGAAGCAGCAAGGGCAGGAGGAGCCCTGGGACCCATCTCCTGAGCTTTCCACCGTGGCGCCAAAGGAAAGCCAGTTAGAGTCCTCCCGAAGTGACGGTCCCCACGGAGCCCTGCCCAACTACAGAGCCAGAGACAGATGGGAGGGATGCAGAGACAGGGCTCAGGATACCATCGAAGACAAGCCTTCCCTTGACCTGTTTCCAACCCATCACCCCGGGGCTCCCCTCCCCAACGGACCCTGAGCGTGGGCCTCATGCAGCCGCCTCAGCTGGCCGGGCAGGAAGTCGGGGACAGGGAAGCTTCGACCAGGGCGTGTGGCTGTTTCCTCCACACAGCGCTGCCGGCACTGCAGGACCCGAATCCAGTGCCCTGCGGAGGACACGCACACGCGATTCAGCTCGTCATGCTTCTCCTCCTGACACTGTGAACCCGCCCTTCTCCCAGCTCCTTACCGGCTATAGCCTCATAGAGACCCCCCTGGCTCCCAGTTCCTTCCTCCTCTTCCTCTCTCTGATGCTCCTCAGGCCCCTCGCAGCCAGCGCGGCAGCTCTCCACCTGAGCCAGGCTCTCCTGCAGGGCCTCCTCGAGCCTGGGCAGTGCCAGTCCTGCCTCCTGGCGCCCCAGGAGCTCTAGGCCTGAGTCATAGGCTGCCTGTTGGAGAGGGGAGTGGTCAGTCACCTGAGACCCTCGGGGAGGGGGTGCCAAATGAGATTGGGAGGTAGAAAGAAGGGGAGGGGTGTTGCTCTCCTTGGGGCATGGCCTCCAGGTCCCACTCCGCCTTGGCCCCAGGACTGGAGCGTCAGAACGTGGGACCTTAGTGATCCTCGGGAAGAAACCAAGCCCCAGATCAGGACTCCCCATCCCAGGTCACTGAGAACGGCACTCAGATCTCCTGATGCCCAAGACACGCAGGGACACCGTCCAGGGAGACGTGTGTGTCCTGTTCGTCAAGGGCTGGGGGAGGGACCGGGGTCCTGCTGGGGGTCTCACCCAGTGTGGGGGCGTCTCCAGGTCCCGGAAGCTCTGCGGCCGAACCCCAGACATCCGTCGGTACTTAGCCATGTCCTCCCGCATCTGCAGGTGCGTGGGGTTTGCTACAAAGAAGGTGTGAGCTGCGGCGGCTGCCAGGTCCAGCTTCTTCAGCTGAATGGGGGCGGAAGAGGGAGTCAGTGCCCCGAGGAGCGGGTGTCAGACCTCTGCCTCTCACCAGCCCCCCACCCCAGACACCCCCTGGGGCTGCCCCCCCCCAGCCTTCTGGAAGACTGGTCAGTGAGAACTGCCCACCCCCAGGCGCCAGGCCCCGGGGGCACCAGTATGCTGGGCCTCTCAGGAGCCCTGCGGCCAAGGAAAGGGCACCGAACACTTCGCAGCCGGTGAGCCGTGGGCAGAGGGCTCAGGGTGGGACCAGGTGGAAGTGCTGGCGACACCCCCTGGGGCTGCCCCCCCCCAGCCTTCTGGAAGACTGGTCAGTGAGAACTGCCCACCCCCAGGCGCCAGGCCCCGGGGGCACCAGTATGCTGGGCCTCTCAGGAGCCCTGCGGCCAAGGAAAGGGCACCGAACACTTCGCAGCCGGTGAGCCGTGGGCAGAGGGCTCAGGGTGGGACCAGGTGGAAGTGCTGGCTACTGCAGTGGTGAGGGGCGGAGGCCCACTAACCAGCAGAACCCGCAGGGCTCTAGGACCCTGAGGTGAGTATGCCGCCAGCCCCCTCTCCCCCGAGCCACGTAGACTACAGACTTGGTCCCAGGAGCTGCGCAGTGCC